TTTTTTGAAAATATTAAGATTTGACCGAATGGCGAGCTCAAAACCGACCACTTACTAAATATTCGATCGACCAAATTTGGTAGTAATATTATTTGGAAAATGTTCATTTTTGGTTTATTTATCTATAAATACGTGTAAAACATTACCCCAAAAAATATTTTTAAAATATCGTGATTTGACCGATAACCGATTTGAAACCGAAATACTGCATTGCTGGCGTTATCCATGGAAAATTCTTCATTTTTGGTTTATACGTGTACAATAACGTGGTAAGCATTATCTTAAAAAATATTATGATTTGACCGAATGCCGAGCTCAAGGCAGACCATATATTTTCTTTTGTCTTACTTCTTTAGATTTTCTTTTATCTTATTTCATCTCGATTCTTTCTTCATAAATTTTTCTTCTCTCTTTCTTTTTGCTACTTTTTATATCTTCTCTCATCTTTTTTCTTTCTAATCATACCAATTTATCAATGATTTATAGATGAAGATTCCAGCAATTTATTACACTCGAAATAGAAAACAATAAAATAAAAAATTCCATATTTGCGAATAGATATTTATAAAAAATAGCATTATTTAAAGATTTTCTATTACATGAAGATTATGTGCGAAGTTTGAAAGTTTTAGAACCTAGAGACTGCAACCGAATATGATAGTGGTAAGCATGGCCAGAACTTCTAAGCCCATCACTATGAACTTCTCGAGAGGGTATAGATTCTAGCCAATATGCTTTCTTAGTATCGAGTTACTTATGATCAAAATAAATGCAAATCAGAATCCCGATACTTGAAATATTCAATTTCTTCGCTTGTTTTGATTTTAATTAATCTCTAGTGAAAAGGTCGATCTTCAAATAATTTGATTATCCATGTAAGAACTCAATCATATATATTTCGAAGATAAGCTCTATAAAATTATAGATTCAGAGCATTGCAAAGCATCCTTCCTCTTATTATGAAATCCATTTAACTTTAGCCACAAATTTTATAAAATTTAATGACAATAATTAAATAGTGATTTATATAAATCTTTATTATTTTTATAAAAATTGTAGAAAGCATCTTTGTATATTTTATGATTTTAACATTTTATTAACTAATTAAACACGATGTTACGTTTATAAAAAATATATTTGCTAGCTATATCCAAAATATAAGAGAAGCCAAAAAATACATTAAAAATACAAAAAGTATTATTAAAGAGAGACTAAATATAATTTATATATATATAATATTGTTTGTATTTGTTATATAGTCATCCTTTGTTTCGAATAGAAACTATTTAAATTCCTCTTAAGCGTGAGTTTCTTGCAAACATAAGGCTTTTAAATAAAAATTTAGTTGAAAAGGTTATCTTTATGGATGAAAACAAGAATTTTTATACCAATTTTAATATTTTATAAATCGATCACACCCTCTCACTCATTGTTAGATAGACTTGATGATATATATTATATTTTTTAAATTTTGTCAAACTACTTGATTTATTAATCGTTTCTATAATATTAAACAAGATACCCATGTCCTGAGTCAAATGCCCCGGTCCTAAGATCTTATTAAATTAAATAGATTTAATAAATATCAATTCAATAACTGGAAGATCATATAATAGAGGGTTTAAAATTTTTTTCGGATCATATTTTCAAAATTTATAAAAATACAAAGAAAATTTTTCATAGTAATGAAATATACAAATTTACAGGCCAAGGTCATAAAATGTTGTTATCGGTCAAATCATGATATTTTTAAAATATTTTTTGGGATAATGTTTTATACGTACTTATAGATATATAAAAAAAATAAACATTTTCCAATTAATGTTACTACCAAATTTGGTCGATCAAAAATTTAATAAGTGGTCGGTTTTGAGCTCGGAATTCGGTCAAATCTTATTATTTTCAAAAAATTATATAGGATAATGCTTAGCACCTTATTGTTAACTTATAAACCAAAAATGAAGAATTTTCTAGAGAGCGCCAGCAACGCAGTATTTCGGTTTCAAATCGGTTATCTGACAAATCACGATATTTTTAAAATATTTTTTGGGATAAAGATTTGCATGTATTTATAGAATAATTAACCAAAAATGAACATTTTCCAAATAATATTACTTCCAAATTTGGTCGATCGAATATTTAGTAAGTAGTCGGTTTTGAGCTCGCCATTCGGTCAAATCTTAATATTTTCAAAAAATTATTTAGGAATAACACCTTGTTGTTCACTTATAAACCAAAATGAAGAATTTTCCATGGAGAGCGCCAGCAACGCAGTATTTCGGCTTCAAATCGGTTACCGGTCAAATCACGATATTTTTAAAATATTTTTTGGGATAATGATTTGCACATATTTATAGATAAATTAACCAAAAATGAACATTTTCCAAATAATATTACTACCAAATTTAGTCGATCGAATATTTAGTAAGTGGTCGGTTTTGAGCTGCCATTCGGTCAAATCTTAATATTTTCAAAAAATTATTTAAGAAAATGCTTAACACCTTGTTTTTCACTTATAAACCAAAAATGATGAATTTTCCATGGAGAGCGCCAGCAACGCAGTATTTCGGTTTCAAATCGGTTATCGGTCAAATCACGATATTTTTAAAATATTTTTTGGGATAATGATTTGCACGTATTTATAGAATAATTAATCAAAAATGAACATTTTCCAAATAATATTACTTCCAAATTTGGTCGATCGAATATTTAGTAAGTAGTCGGTTTTGAGCTCGCCATTCGGTCAAATCTTAATATTTTCAAAAAATTATTTAGGAATATGCTTAGCACCTTGTTGTTCACTTATAAACCAAAAATGAAGAATTTTCCATGGAGAGCGCCAGCAACGCAGTATTTCGGCTTCAAATCGGTTACCGGTCAAATCACGATATTTTTAAAATATTTTTTGGGATAATGATTTGCACATATTTATAGATAAATTAACCAAAAATGAACATTTTCCAAATAATATTACTACCAAATTTAGTCGATCGAATATTTAGTAAGTGGTCGGTTTTGAGCTCGCCATTCGGTCATATCTTAATATTTTCAAAAAATTATTTAAGAAAATGCTTAACACCTTGTTGTTCACTTATAAACCAAAAATGATGAATTTTCCATGGAGAGCGCCAGCAACGCAGTATTTCGTTTTCAAATCGGTTATCGGTCAAATCACGATATTTTTAAAATATTTTTTGGGATAATGATTTGCACGTATTTATAGATAAATTAACCAAAAATGATCATTTTCCAAATAATATTATTACTGTTATATATTTCTTATATATTTGTAGTGGATATTTCATATATGTTGGTCAGGGCCGTAGCCACGGGGGGGGGGGGGGGGGGGGCCCAAAAAAATTTTTGGCCCCCAAACCTGGCCGCCAGAAAAAATCTTCGGCCCCCAAAAGTGGCCCCCAAAAATTTTTCTGGCCCCCCCAAATTTGAATTTTTTTTTAGAATTGATTATTTTTATATTTTTAATATAAATTTTAAATATTTATTCAAAAATATTCAAAAAACATGTCTATTTAGAATTGATTATTTTTATATTTTTAAAATAAATTTTGAATATTTATTCTACAAACATATCTAGTTTGTAAAAATTTTTTTTATCCTGTTTTATTTTTATTTTTACCCAATATTAAATTATCATTCATTCATTTTTTTTCATCTGTTTTTGTTGTGTATCACACTCTATAGGTATCACATTAATATTATAATATATAACCAGTTATTTTATTTTAGAGCGTTTATTTTAAAATTATGAAGAAACAATCAATTATAAACTCTTATTTTAAGTTAAAGTTAAACAAATGTCAAGCAACATCACCTCTATAAACTACTAGTAATACTACATCAGAAATTTCAGAAACTGATTCTTCTCATAGTTAGTATAAATTTATATTATTATTTCATGACTTATATGATATTGATATAGGGCAATATTTGTATATTATTATTTATAATATATATATTTTATATAAGATAAGAGAAAGACATTTATTATTAATATTATCATTTTTGTATAATAATTTTAATTATTAAAATAAATATATTTACTCATATTTCAAGATATGAATGAAGCTAATCTAGAAAATCAAGAGGAGGAAGATGGTAAATAGTTTAAAATTTAACCCAAATTTTTCTATTTATATATTTTTGACAATATGAATAGGAGTAGGAGATTATGGTGTTTCATTATTACATTTTGATTTTAAAACAAATAAAAACGAAGAAGAGACTCAATCATCTTCATCTAGCAGCTCAGTCTCTCATTGTCAAGAAGCAACTAGTAATTGATTTATAAATATAAAAATATTATATTTTTTTGTTAATCTTTAAAGATATAATGTTTATGACTTTTTTCTAGTTTTTAATACTGAAATTTTACTGGTCAACTTTACTGATAATCTTCATCAGGGTTGGGCACTACAGTAACTTGTATCTTAAATACAAGATAAATTTTGTGTTTGTTCATTTTCAGCATGCCCTTCCTTCGCCCATCCTGATGACCATTATTATTTATGACCCATTCCCTCATTACAATTTATTAATTATAATATTTTTAGTGTCAAAAAAGTCCTCTAATGGTTCAATTCAAATCCCTGGTGACCTTGGCCAGAATAAACCAAATCAAATCAAATTAAACAATTACGCGAAAAAAGATATCCATGGAAGGCAAAGATCATTTCAAAAATCATGGTATAGAGGCCGAGACTGGTTGGAGTAAAGTGTAGAAGCTGACGCTGCCTTTTGTTTTCCATGTAGGAAATACTTGTGTAATCCAAGTGATGAATTTGGGGATTCATAAATTGGAAAAATGCGTTAGCTGCCAAGAAGGGACTGCTTAAACACGAGAGCTCAAAAGCTCATTTAAATTCAATTACAATATGGCATGATAAAAATCAAAATATAAACAATGGTACAGAAATAACTAAAATGTTGGGAGGTGATCAAATTAATCGTAATCAAATTATATTAAATCAATATTTGATTTGATGCTGTTTCTTAGCGTACAAGAGCTACCTTTCCGTGGGACTGGTTCAACAAATATTACGGATGCTGCGAAAGATGAAATCATAATTTATTCTTCTGAACTATTTATAGCAATGTTTTCCTACACCATCCAAAAAGACCCTGAATTAAATAAAATTATGAAATTTATACCCCAAAATGCCCAGTATACATCACCACAGATTCAAAACGAAGTAATATCCATTATGGCAGATATGGTGCTTGAACATATTTCAGACAAATATAATAAAAGCGAGATGCCCTTTTTTTGTCTTAAGGCCGATGAGACAAAAGATGCTTCAGGTTGTGAAAATCTGAGCATAATAATTCGCTATATTTTTTCTGGAGAAATCCAAGAAAATTTAATAGGAATCATTAATTTAGAGTGTCTTTCTGCTGAAAGCATTACAGATTGCATTTTAAAGCTACTTAATGATCTAAATATTAATTCAGCTAATATAATAAGCCAGGCATATGATGGTGCAAACGTTATGTCTGGCCGAAATGGAGGAGTGCAAACACTTCTTCAAAAAAAAATTAATAAAAATGTTCCTTTTATACATTGCTACAACAACAAGTTGCATCTTGTGGTTCAAAATTGGTATAATAATATTGTTATTATTTCTAATTTTTTTAATATATCAAATGCATTGTATAATTTTTTCAGGCGTTTTAACGTATCCTGTAAATATACAGGCCACACCCTTAAGAGACTTTTAGACCAGAGATGGACTGGTCATTTAGAAACATCTCGCATTATTTATGAGAATTTTGAGGCTATTGGTGAAGTATTATTTTACTTTTCTAATAGAACTCTTAATTCCGAGGTTTCAATTCATGATTCAGTCGAAGCATCTGGTCTTTTATCTCAATGTATTAATATAAATTACATTATATTAGCCATCATAATTTATGAGATATTAATTACAATAGATCCACTAAATAAGTATCTACAATCAGTAGATAGTAATTTAGTGGATGCTAAAAATTGTATTGATTCTACTATCAATATATTAAAAAATAAAAGAAGTGATAATTCTTTTGCTTTGATTATGATTAAGGCTGAAAAACTTTTATCAAAATTTAATCTCACTCCCCAAAAATTATCACGGGTACGTAAAACGCCTAAAAATTTCCAAGATTTTTTAGTTGATAGCAAACTAGAATTCGATTGTGAAAAAGACTCCAATTGGAGTTCTTTAAAAAGGATATATTATAAATTATAGATAACTTTGTGGATCGTTTTTTAGACCGATTTACAGAAGATGATTTTAATCTTTTAATACATTGTTCCCCCTTGACCCTGATTATTTTTTATCAGATAAAATGGCCCCATTAAAATCCCTGTTAAACTTAAATATGGAAACACTGCATCATGAAATGAAGATAGTAAAAGGATTGCTAGCTTCGGAAACTAAAGAAAATCATAATTTTGAAAACATCTTACATATTATGTATAAAAAAAATATAATCATGCATTTAAAGAATTATATAAATGCTACTCAGCAGCGATAATCATTAGGATATCAACGGCTTCTTGTGAGGCCTCGTTCTCTACATTAAAGAGAGTTTTATCGAGCAGTAGAGAGTCTATGAAGGATAAACGTAAACAAAATTTAGTATTAATGGCGTATGAAAAAAGAATAAAGCAGGATTTATCTTTTAGTTCATTTATATTAAAATTTAAAAATAAAAATCGCCGTATTCTATTATAGTAATATTTTGTTTTGTATATGCATATTATAGTATTATTTTTTTTTGTATATTCATATTATAGTATTATTTTGTTATTAAATTTTTAATAAAAATAGGAAAAAATTTCTATGAATGCGTAATTATTTGTTTGATTTTAAAAAAATAGTGCCCCCCCCCCCAAGTTAGCACTTGGCCCCCCTAAGTGAAAATTCCTGGCTACGGCCCTGATGTTGGTATATTATATATATATATATTTATCAATATTATTATTATTAAATTATAAATGTCAATCAATTATTAATATATATTTAGAAATATAAAAAAATATAAAAAAATATTGATTTTTGTTTATATTGATTGGATAAAGAATTAACGCGGAGGGATATAATAATTGTAAAACAAAGAAACGAATGTTTTTGTATTCATTAATAGAATTATTACAATTTTTTATATTGAAATTAATTTAAGAAAAAGTTATAAAATAAAGAAATGTTAATAAGTAGTAAAATGTTCAAAATTCTAACCAATAATATTAAGTTATAATAATAATCAGTGAGATTATTGAGAAATTATAAGTCATATAATAATAATCGGTGAGATTATTGAGAAACAATATTATATAATATTGAGTGTTATTTTATTTATGAGTGGATATATATAAAATTAATATGTAAAAAATACTCTCTTAATTTAGATATAGTGATTCTAAATTCTTAATTATTGGGAGAATATTAGTAGATAATTGAAACTTTATAATATATTTTCCATCAATTATGGAATTATGTTTTTAAAAAATGTGATTTAACGAGGAAAATATGAGTTGTTTTTAAATTAACATGTGTTATGAGTTTATTGAAAAAAATAATTTTTTTTTAAATGATAAGTTAGAGAATTACTTATATAGAAAGAAGTTTTTTTAAAAACATATACATTATTATTATGAAATTGGTTTATAAAATTTATGATTATATTTTATGAAAAGATATTAGAATTTGAGAGATACAAAATTTATAATTAAATAATTAGATTTATACAATAAAGAAATACTTTGAATTTATAAAAAAAAGAAATACCAAATAGAATATATTTAATCGGAGAGATTAAATATATATAAAGAAATATTAAATATAGAGTTATTTTAGTATTAATAAATAAAAGTTAGAATTATTTTAACTACCAAATTTGATCGATCAAATATTTAGTAAGTGGTCGGTTTTCAGCTCGCGATTCGGTCAAATCTTAATATTTTCAAAAAATTATTTAGGAAAATGCTTAACACCTTGTTGTTCACTTATAAACCATAAATGAAGAATTTTCCATGAAGAGCGCCAGCAACGCAGTATTTCGGTTTCAAATCGGTTATCTGTCAAATCACGATATTTTTAAAATATTTTTTGGGATAATTATTTGCACGTATATATAGATAAATTACCAAAAATGAACATTTTCCATATAATATTACTACCAAATTTGGTCGATCGAATATTTAGTAAGTGGTCGGTTTTGAGCTCGGCATTCGGTCAAATCATAATATTTCCAAAATACTTTTTAGGATAATGTTTAACACCTAAATATACACGTATAAACCAAAAATGAAGAGATTTTGATCAATTACGCCAGCAATATGTTCCTTACAAACTTTCTAATATTTTTGATTCTAAACCTACTCATTAATTAAATGTCAAAGAAACCTTTATTTATTAAAGAAAATTTAGGTTTTTCACATGTATTTACACCCAAATACAAAAAAAGCGCTATCCAATATTTATTCTGGTTTCCTAAGAATATATTTTCATATTTATGCATTTAACGCCCTCTTATGGATATAAATTTGTTAAATTTTGTAATTGAAAAATAAAATTTAAGTTGTAATAAGCTAGTAAATATATTTTTTTCCAATAATATTAAGTAAAAATAGAATTTAATATCAATTTTTTACTTATTTAAAAATTGATTTATGTAAAATAAAAAAATGTTTTTGAAAATAAATTTTTAAAAAATATTATATAATCAAATTTTGATTCATTATGATTAATTGCTTTTTATGCATTTTAGCAATGCAGTTTAGCAATGCAGTTTAGCAATGCAGTTTAGCAATGCAGTTTAGCAATGCAGTATAGCAATGCAGTATAGCAATGCAGTATTTAGTCATACCGGAAATTACACCATGTAATTCAGTTGCCTGATGTGGAAGAGTGCTTTATCTAGTTTAGTACAAGTTTCAATGTTAATGGCGGTCAGCCTATCTGATGAAAAGACAAGACGAAGTGCCCCTTATATAATCCAAATTATCAATTTTTTCCCCAAATAAATTAACCTTTTGTAGTAATATTATATATATTCTAATTTATATTTTAATGGTATTTTATTTATAATATTATATTACCTGTATGCATATTGTTTTGCGGCTATAAATCAAATATTTAAATTATCGATGATAGTAAAAGTTAATTTATTTTCTTATTGAATTCCAATTTCTTTATTTTTCTAGCCCCTTCAATAGTTTTAGGTAGGATTTATTTTAATTCTATAAAATTTTCATAATAATCCTGAAAATGATTAATAATAATAGTTTTAATAAGATTTTTAATTTTTCCTTGCATTCTCTCCAGGTAGATATTTCTTCGACCGACAAAAATTTTGGTTCTTAAAAACTATCAGGTTAGCTTAGGATTTGAGTAGAAAGCATGAACATCACAAGAAATTTTAATTTTTCGGAGCTCATGGGTGCTCAAACTTAAAATTTCTTTTAAAATTAGTATTTTTCATTTCTTGCATATTAATTTGCATCTAGAAAAAAACTACTTTTAAATATTTTGAAAAATTAAAATTTTTTTTAAAATACTTCAATAAAATAAATGTATTTATACAAAAATGATTTTTTTTAAGGGGGTGTTCTTAAAATTTGTTAAGGGGCTTGAGCTCTTGCGTTCCCTCTTGTAAAACTATTGCGCTTATGGCGTGATATCATAATTTTTATTTGGTTTATACAACGGTTAATTAATATGATTGGTAAAATTGAAAGCACTAAAATTTAATGAAAACTAAAACCAGATATGATACAGTTTTATAATGAAAGTGGGGATCTTTTTTACCAGATGCTCAAAACAAATAAAATGATCATATTATATTTATCATTTTGCCATACTTAAAAATTAAATTATGTTATACAAATATTCAACAATTTTTTTAAAAAAACACCACCACATAATGTTTACAATTAAAAAAAAATCTTATAAATAAATTAATAATTTTACAAAAACCTCTACTTATAAATTAATAATTTGATATTTAAAAACGCATATTTTAATAATTTTATAATATCATTTAACTTCTTAAGATATAATTTTATTTAAAATATTTAATATATACTTTCACATCACACTAGTAGTAAGAGCCCTTATTCACTCCTAATTATTCCAAGAAATGTGAATTATTCTGCCTAATATAGACAAAAATGAGATTCAAAATTATAAATTATTTCATCAAATAGCAGTGGCGTCACTGGGGGAGGCACAGGGGCTCGAGCACCTAAATTTGAATAGCCCCCTGAAGAAAAATTTATTTTAATGGAATCTTAACCCGTTGAACTAAAAATAAATTTTTTTAATTGCTCCCTGAACGATTTCTATAATTTTATTAAGTAATATATAAATTTAATTTTATTATTTAAAAATTATAAGACTGTCTAAATTTTTATTAAATAAATACTATTTTAAATATTAGATTACACATAAATTATATTTTCACTATGTCATAAGCTTCCAATCAAATTCTGTGTTAAAAATAGAAAATCAATATCATTCACTAATTATTAATTTAGCATTAACAGTTGAAGCTTAGGCTGCATTCAAAGTGGAGACGGATCCGTTTTTTACATCCGTTCCGTCAACAATCTCATTAAAAATGATATATATGTTCATAATGCGTCCGTTCCGATATCATCCATCTTAAAAACGGATCCGGCAAATTTTGAAGTAAAAACATTTTGACTTTTTGATCCGGCAAATTTTATAGAGCGTTATAACGTTACTTATAATTTTTTTAAAATGAAAATCAATATATATCATATTTATTGAGATTGTCTTTTAAGGTTAATGATGCTTACTACCTTAAGGTACTACCTATCAAATTTGAATTTTCTTCATTTTTCATTTGGATAGGCACTACCAAATATATTTATAATATATATTTGAAAAATCGTGATTTTTTGAAAACCTCTATGGCCTAGTAGGCAAGAGCTTGACTTAATGATCCCATGCTCCCGGGTTCGAATCCCTGGAATGTTCATGTTTTTTTTCTTATTCTAACTTGGTGGTTCCATCCTTGGGGGGATGATATATAGAAGGCCGGACTCGACCACGTGATTCCGTATTAATATATTAAATAATAAGGGTCTTATTACATTTTAATAAATTTTGGTCGGTATTTAGCAAATTAGGTAATTAGAATATTTCCATACATTCACTTGGTAGTAAGCATCATTAACCGTCTTTTAACGGAACGGATGTAAAAAACAGATCTGTCTCCA